CTTTTTGTATTTATTTTATTTTAACTTAAACATATATATATATTAAATAAAGATTACTAAATATATAAAATACCAGATTTAAATATTACTGATTTAATATAATTTAATATAATTTAATAAATTATATATAAACTAAGATACTTATTTTAATATATCAAATTGCTTATTATTCTTAAAATTTATTAGTAATCTTTTAAATACTGATTTTTTTTTTAAAATACATATATATTATAATATTATTTCTATTTTTCAAATATAAATAAAATTTTAAAGTTATTTTAAAATTAATTTTTTTTTAATTAAAATATTATAAAGTTATTTTATTTAAAATAAAAAGAAAATTAAATCATTAAATTTAATGTATCTTTTAATCATTATTACTTTATAATTTGATAATTTTTAATTATTTTTTGAAATTCAAGTTAAATAAAAGGTTAAAAAGTTATATAGTTTAAATTGCAAGTTTTAATAAAAATAGAAATTGTTAAAAGTAGAATAATTATATTTTCTGTTTAAACATGGATCATTTATCAATCTTCATAAAATTACTAATAATTGTCTTGGAACTTATAACAGAAGTTTGTTTGAAATTAAAGGTTAAATACATATAAAATATTTAAAGATAAACTATTTTATGAATTTCTAAACATTAATACAAATTATGTTACAATCAAAGTTCATAAAAGTATTATCTATTAAACTATTATAGCAGCCTAAATATCATTGAGAAAAATATGAAAATTTAAATATACGCTCTGAAATCATAATACTAACACTCTTTAAGATGGTTGAAAATAAGACATATGAATGATCATATAAAATTAAAATATTCGAATCCAAATTGTTTAATCGAAAATAATTTCAAATATCGAAAAAGACCCCCAAATAATCCTCCGCAAGACCTATGAAGAGAGAAATAACGTTTCTAAAAAAAAAAAAGAACCCTTCCAAAAGAAACCTTTCAAAAGATATCGAAATTCAAAAATGATTTCCGACATTTGAAATCATTTCGATATTATTTAATAATAAACACTTTCGATTACTTAAAATAGGAACTTATTTAGAGTATTTTAAATAAATTTATCTGGATAAAAAAGGTTTCTTCGTTCCACCTTAATATTTGGATATTGTCTAGCACAGCGATATTCACGTTCCTGACATCAGACGCGTCCCATGTATAAAATCATTTATCCGGTTTCGTTTATTTCACTATTTAGACTGTGTATTCCCTCAGAAATCACGAAATCATGTGAAAATGTTTTTTTTTTTTTTTTTTGTATTATCGTTATGCATACATTTCTAGAATTCTAGAAAGCAAAAAAGCGTTAGCGATTTTCTTTTTTTGATATTCAAAGATACAAACGATTTAATTCCATGCAGGTACCGAAACAAGTTATTTTTTTTACAATGAACAAATGAACAAACAAAAAAAAGATCGACTCTATGAAATACTAATTATTAAAAGGAAAATAATTTTAATTTAATGTTTTTCCGAAAAGGAAAAATGCAATTACTTTGAAAATAATAAACAAATAAAATCTGCTGTCGATTTTCTAAAATTGTTATTTTTTTTTGACTTGCATGTATAGATTCCTTGCAGATTAAAAAAATTACGACGCCAAGGATTTTAGAGAATAACGCGTAAATCACGTGATAAATTGGATTTTGTGACGGTTACCAAGATCCTTAATGGAAGTTTTATCTTTTTTGTTTCAAAAAGATTTTTAAAAGATTATCTTCGTTTTCGAAAAGTTTGTGTACTTTTGAAACATGGTAGTGGTGCTTTTTTGCACTAGACAAAATAAGTTAGACCTTTCAGGATTGACATCTAACATAATCAAGGACACAATGTATTGCAAATTGGCATACTTTGTACTCTTGGTACTCTTGGTATCTTATTTCCCCATTGCATAATAATAAATAAATAGTAACAAACGACAATATTTTGATTGTATTGTGATCAACATAATTTATTCCGGGTCTTTATGTCATATTCTTGAAATGGTTAATCGTTTTCGGATATAAAAATAAATGTTGGAAAAGAAATTCAAAAATAACTCCGACGTATATAGAGAGACCATAATCAATCTAATTCAATTTACTATTTTTAAAATTTATTGAATAGCATTACTACTTATTATGTAATTCAAATTTTGGAATTCGAATTTACTTTTTTTTTAAAAAAAAAAAAAAGATGGATGGGAGGATGAGAGATAAGAAATGCAAACACGAAGCAAACTACAAGGGGTGATGTTTAACGACATATAATTACTTATTTGGGGACTATAACGATGAAAAAAAAAAAAATTGGATGTTAATGTAACGTTGTAATTAATTAGCTGTTATGTTGTGCTATTGTCTATATATATTATCATCTAAATGCAAGTAATATAACATTTTGACAATAATAGTAGTACAACGATATTAATCGGTTTATTTTCATTAAATAAAAAAAATAATCGTGAAAAAAATTTTTTTTTAAGTTCTTTGCGTATTGAAAATTCTATGTTGATTACATCCGAGATCAACACCCCTGTGTGACATAAATATGATTTTTTATTGTCTTCTGTTTTTGTGCAATTTTATTCCCTCATGAGGTTTTACCATTATTATTTTAGTGGGATGGAATGAAGCGGAAGAAGCCGACATCATTTCATTACCCTAAATGATTAAGGTAAACTTCATTCTTAAACAATCTGTACTAATGACTTGATGATGTATTTTTTCTTGCGAATTGCCATTTTACCGAACTTGGAATTTCATGAGCGTTTGCTCTTTTCCTTTTGTCATGAATTTGAAATTGAAAGTAACTACCAAAAGAAATCGGCGGGAAGCGTGTAAAATGTATTCTTTTCTCAAAAAGGTATTCTTGGTTGATCCGTGAAGGGGGTAAATTTTTAATTATGTCCCTTATATGCATAATGATGCTCCAAATAATAAAAAAAGAACCATTCCATTCTTCTTTTCCTCAAAAGAAATCTTGTATTTGAATTGTTTTATTGTTTAGATTATGTTTGGTTACTTTTCATTTATTTTTTTTTTTTGATAAACAGATACATGAAATAAAAGATAATTCCAAAAATGTCTCCCTTGTTAATTAATATATAACTTTATTTCCAGATTTGTTCAAACAAATTAGATTGTGATCTATGAAATGATGTTGTGTCCCTATTGATATTTTGTTATGCATTTATTATTTGGATGCTGTGGTAAATTACATGCATTTTTATACAAATGAAGTTTTCGAGAGTGGTAATATCATCTCCATTTATATTAGAAAAAAAAAAAAAATAAAATAAAAATATACTTTACCAATTAAAATGAAATTCAATCATGAAGAAGAAATTTCAATTCTTGCTTGATAACGAATGCGCATTAAGGAACAAAAAATGAATTATGATTAGTCCTTATCGTGTGCATAAGTTTTTTTTTTTTTTAATTTTTGTACCAAAGGGAACGCAAAGTCCTCTTTAATTGGTTGCGCTTGACCTTTTAATAAATGATGATTTTTTTTTTCCTCGGCTCAAAACATTTTAATTTGTCGGGCATAGTATCACGAGTGTTATCGCGTAATATTGGAAATTATTTTTGTTTGTTACAAGTGTCGATTACCAAATTTAGTTTGAATTAAAATTTCGGCTACAAGACTTTTACTGGGGTTGAACCGCATGGACCGAAATTGCCGAGAGATCAAATAAAGTAAGTGTTCATAAACAAATAAGGGTTTGTCCTATGTGATATTTGGTTATAAACGACACTGCAGGGGGGAATTCCAAGATTTTCCATATATGGGTATTCATATAATCAGAACAAATATGCCAATTATCCTAATGCAGGCGTCATTGGAGAAGGGCGAAAGTATAATCAAAATAATCAAATTTCAATGGAATTCATTCGAAATATTACACCGTGCACATCATAGCTCGTGGATTAAACATGTGCGACCAAAACCATCGGTCCAAGAAATACTTTGATTCTTGTAAGTACCCGGCTCTCCATATGGTCCTCATTGGAAATTTGGACAACTTTTTTTTTTCGTTTTGTTAGACCAAACAAATTTAAGGTGTAAAACACACGCGCTTGACATTAAATTTTAATCCTATCACTACATTCTTATCAATAAAATTAGTGGAAAGATTATGCAGAATACTTTTTTTCTAAATTGAGTAAAGGTTCTCTCATTGGATTTTTTTTTTTTGAAAGAACCTTCATTTAACGTGAAGTCATCCGCTCACGTGATTAAAAAAGCGAGTACTCTGATGCGGGTACCTAAGATTATAGAACCTATTTTTAATAAATTAATATTTGTAGTTCAGAATTTCGTCAAACTAGACTAAAATTTGATACATGTTAACCACTTTAGTATTTGTAGTATAATTTAAAGAGTTAATAATAAATATAAACGGCAATTTTTTTTTTATATCATTTTCAGGTGTGCATCACTCAAATCAGGGGCTATTCACCCTTCTACTAAATTTTTTTTTTTTGTTGATCTTAAAATATCAATTTTATAATGATCTTTTTTTTTTTTTTATACACAATTACCAAAAATAAAATTATAAAGCTAAGAATTCTTTTAAAGTAAAGAGATATATATATTTAAAAATCAAATATCGAATGGCTTTTGTTTTGAATACAGGTTTTTTGCCAAGGAAACAAAATTTTTTTAACGCCAACCCTGTATTATTTATGCAAGTACAACGTTTCAAATGTATCACGGAGTAGTGTCTTGTTTCCATAGAGTGGATATTGTTATTTATTTATATATCAATATTAATAAAGTAAATCAAAATATTCTCAACTAATACCATCAAAAAATCTAATAAATACAGGGCCACTTTCCCTTTCACTCAAATCACCACGACACAACTGCAAAGGTTAAAATCAAAGAAAAATATCTTTCTTTTCAAAAAAAAAAAAATAATTTTAGAAAACTTTGCAATTGCAAATAAAATTACAAAAACTCCCTTACCTTTTCACCAGTTCAATAATCATACAAAATGAAATTCAATAACCGCATCATCCTTCTTCTTATCGTTCTCTTCGTGTTGGTTTCATTCGTTGCTGCACAGTAAGTTATCCCGTTAGAAAAAAATATAAAAAATTTTTATTTTAATATTATTTTTGGAATTTATAATTAACATATTTTATAATTATCAGAGGAGATGGCAAAGCACCAGAAGATGGAAAAGCACCAGCTGATGGCAAAGCACCAGAAGACGGCAAAGCACCAGAAGACGGCAAAGCACCAGAAGACGGAAAAGCACCAGAAGACGGAAAAGCACCAGAAGACGGCAAAGCACCAGAAGACGGCAAAGCACCAGCTGACGGCAAAGCACCAGCTGACGGCAAAGCACCAGAAGACGGCAAAGCACCAGCCGACGGTAAAGCACCAGCCGACGGTAAAGCACCAGCCGACGGTAAAGCACCAGCCGACGGTAAAGCACCAGCCGACGGAAAAGCACCAGCCGACGGAAAAGCACCAGAAGACGGAAAAGCCCCAACAGGAAAAGGCCCAGATGGTAAAGCACCAGCACCAACACCAGCCAAGACCCCAGATGCCAAATCCCCAGCACCTTCTGCCAAAGCCGCCGCTGCCGCTGCCAACAATCTTAAATCCGAAGTTGGAGTTTCATTCGCAGCCATCGCTGTTCTTGGTGCCTTATTTGCTTAATTTAATACCGTTTAGACTTAATAATTTCATAAAAACCCTCTCATATTCCCTTCAATATACACAAAAGGTTTTTTTTTGTAATACTCATACATTATATAGTTATACATATATTTACTGTGCTTAATAAATAATAGTGTCGTGACCGAAATAAAAAAAATTTCGAACATTTAATTTTTAAAAAAAATTATTATATTTATTTTTCAACTTTCACTAGATTTTTTATTTAGTTTTTTAGGTAATTTTTTGGTTGTGGAAGTAATGTTCTAGTTAGTTTTATATAGTAACGCGTTAATGTCTAATTTGAATAAATAAACTTTCGCGTTAAATAATAATTTGAGACTTTTTCCGAGGGAAAAATTTGTTGGAAATGCGAAATTTTTTTTTTTTTTGGTTTAATATTTCTTTCAATACTTTTTAATATACGCGCGTTTTACGAATTTAGACTTTAATGTAAGACGTGAAAAAATTAATATTAATAAAACGCGATCAAAATTTTCGCTTCATTAATTTAAAAATATTCACAAGTTATTTTCATTGAAAATGAGTTAACTTTTATTACGAAAGATGCCATCAATTTAATTTGTATGTTGACGGGCAAATCAAAGTCGCGCGACACGAAACCCGAGTTCAAGTTTAAAAAGTTTAAAATAAAAAAATATATATATATATAACGGAATGGCTTTGATTTCACCAAGCCTCAATCTTAATTTTCACAGGTTCGGGTGAAAAAAGATTACTGAACAAGAATAATGATAGAAATTATTTAATTGTTTTTTTTTTTTTTTTCATTAAAAATTTCTAGAACGAATCCAGAGATTTTTTTATAACATAATATTAGTTCAATTTCGTTTATAGATTAATTAATAATAAATTTGGTAGTTTCCGTGGGTTGGGTCCCATAAATGAGATGTATGTTGATCGACAATCATACTATTTAATTTGATATTGAATGTAAAATAGATCGAAAGTCCTTTTGGCTTGGGAGAAATTGTTTCATAATCAGTTTCACTAAGCCAATAATAACGATTAAGCCATCCTTAATAAATTGGTATATTTGGTCTAAGACATTTATATAATCCTGATTGACAAAAAGAAATTATTGCGAAATCAAACATTTGAATACATATTTTGTATGGTGAATTAGTTAGCGTCAAAACATATGAGGCTTAGTAGAGGAATTGTTTGTTTCAGAAATTTTATTAAATAAAACGGGTAACTCCTTTATTATTTTTTATAAATAAATCAAACTGGTGATAAACCATTTTCGTCTTAGTATATATATATATAAAAGGTTGTCAATGAATTTCCTGTTTATATACAAAAGAAAAAGCCACAAAATTGCTTGGTAAAATGGAAATTTACCAAATTGGATTAGAAAAGTTCAGTTCTATTGATGAGAGTTAATACATTAACAAATTTATACTCTATGCCACAAAAATAACAATTCATGTTATAATTATAAATGAAAACTTATCCTTTTAAACGATTCCTCTTTTCTTAAGCCTCGAAATTCTTTATCATTACTATGAATTATCTATCCTGTTTGATTTAAACAGTGGCTTACGCTAACGTACAAGTTTTGTTCCCTTTAATATAAACTTACTATTGATTAATACATATTGTGTCGGAGTAAAAAAATAAAAAAGATTTGGTTTAGACTCCTACGTTTCGGGCGAAACTGTTTTTGTGATTATTTATTAGAGATATGAATCAATATGTTAATTATTTACTATACCTTTTCTGGAAAAAGTTTTTTCCCCTCCAAGAAGCGCGTCGCAAATCATGAACTCTAAAATCGTATTTATATTTTACAAAGAACTATTTTTTTTATTTATAAAATTGTAAAAATACAAGGATAATTTTTTCGTCAAGGTCTATATATAACTAGGCACCATCGTCTTAATAAAAGAATACCTTCCGTATAAGGAAATCTTCAAAGAAAATTCTATATATATATATATATTAAATAATCGTTATAGATTTGAAAAATTCTCCGGTTAAAATATTTATTCTATTCTTTATTGGTTATTTGAGGATTCAATAATTCTACCAAAAAAATATATATATATATTACAATGCTTCATAATTGCAAAAAATTCCTTGATTTCTATTTGTAATACGCGCAGTATAAACACGTGGTAAAGTCGGCCAACTTTATCATTAACTTAATTTCGGCTAGAATTATTAAATGAAACTGTGCAACATCCTTTCAACTATAAAAAGTTGATTCTTGCAGATATGTAAACCTTTTCTCATGACAAAACCGTTACACACGAAATAAGGAGAGCACGAAGAGGAAGTAAAAAAAAATATAATGATAAATTATCCGATAACAAACTTTTACAATAAAAAGAATAAAATGGAAAATATTTTATTGGAAATATTTCATGAAATATGTAAATACGTTTCACCAAAAGATTTATACTCATTATCAACAGTATGCAAAAGGTATAGAAAAATTTTATGGTTAACTCACTCGATGAAATGTCAAAATATTTGGAAAACATCAAGGCAAAGATGTTTAACATATCCAAATTTACCACCACCAAATGGTTGGAACGAAGATTGGCCAGAACAAAAATATATTTGGTTTACTTTATTAAGTGATAAATGTTTTATTTGTAAAGATCGTTTATTGGAAAAATTTCATGATAGGTGTTGGGAATTTAGAGTTAATTGTTGTAAAGATTGTTTTGATAAATGTGCAGTCAGGTAATTTAAAGTCTCTTTCATTACAAGAGAATTTTCTATATCATCAATTAATTTAATTTTTTTTATTTTGGTTTTTTTTTTTTTTAGTCATGTTAACACTAAAATTAATGTACCTCAAGTAATTTATACATGTGTCCCATGGATTAGACGTCGGCTTAGAAGAGGACAACCAATTCAGTACTTTTGGACTAAGGATATACAAAAAGCGTATGAAGAATATAAAGGATTGGGAAATGAAGAAGAAAGGCAAGATTGGGTTGTTAAAATGCAGCGTAAAGTTCAAAGATTTTTACAAGAAATTTTTGATTATAAATTACAAGACACCGTAGAAATCACTAGAGATCTTCAAGCTAGACTTATTAGCAATAATCACCACCAAAGAACGTAGGAGAAATAAAAAAAAAAGAAGATTGGATATTGAAAAATTGAAAGTGAACAATTCATTTTATTTAATTAAGGCCTGTTTTTTTAAAAAAATATATAATAATAATAATAATTATGAGCTTTATGATTTTATTCTAGATTATTCAAAAAGTTTCTAATCAAAAAAATTCTAGCTTTTTTAACTTTTTAATAATATAGATATTTTTTAAATTTATTAATTGCGTATTTGGGGCATGACAAACATTTCAAGGTACAAATTTAGTAATGTAATTTCGTTGGATCAATGAATTTCGAATTTTTTAATAAATTCTATAAAAAATAATTGAAAGTAACAAATCACAAAATATAAATTCAAAATAGAGTTTTTTATTTCAAGTTACATGTGATGCTTTTTAATCCATTTTTTAAAGCAGCAAAGCAAAGCCTCTTTTTTGAGATCATTTATCTTAAATTTTAAAGGTAAATAATGTCATTTGATGTTCCTATCACGCGTCTAATTAATAAGAGCATATGATACCTTTGCAATAGAAAGGGGAGAATCTGCCAGGAAATTCAGAATTTAGCGTTAACTCATTTTTTTTGATTTTTCCCGGCAGTTTCTATTGCATAGGTCCCATATGGTTATGTAAAACGATAAATTATCGGTAATACAAGAAGCGGTATAATTGTATATATTAGTGCCAATTTTTTTTAAAAATTTAAATAAATAAATCGAAAAGAAAACGAAACGAAAATAATTTTTTGAAAATGAAAAGAATTAACTTTTACTCTATTAAATAAATGCAACTTATATGAACTTATATCTATGACAATTTATATTTATTTATATAAACTTAATGATTTTAATTTTAAAAAAAAATTAAAATGGAATTAATTAAATTTATTAAATTTTATTTTTAAGTATTTAATTTAAAATATTTATTAAAAAAATTTTTTCAATGTTTATACAAGTTGAATGCAATACTTACTGAATAAAAAATAGACTTTTAATATACTGTATATATTAATAAGGTTTAAAATTTCTAAAGATTATCAATTTATATTAATCATCCTGTTTATATTAATAGGATTATTAATAATAGATAATAATTTGTATTTTAGATTACAAAATTTAAAGTTATAAGAATAAAGTTTGACATAAATATTGATTTACTTTTATTATTAGTTAAAAATAAAGTAAAAACTATAAATTATAATAAAGTTTACTATGACATTTATTATCATATTATTATTAAGTTTATTATTAAGCTATAACTTAAGAAATTGCATTCTCTTTTGATAACAACTATAAAATTATTTAATATTTTGTAATATTTTTATTCATTAAAAGCTTTTAATAAATAGTTTAATGAGTAGAATTTCTATTAAAATTTAAATATTACACTAAAAAAACAAAAACCATTATAAGTCTAAAGAAAATAATTTTTTTTTTAAAATATATAATCATTAATACTTTCTTTTATTTAAAAAAAAATATATATAAATAATTTTTAATTTTTTGTATGATAAAATAAATCTTTTTTTTATTATTGTTAACTCTTGTTATAGTCACATTATCCTATATAGTTTTTTAGTTAGATATTCTGAATTTTATTATATAAATCCTATTATTTATAATCATATTCTACCTATAATCATTATTATCTTTATTTCAAAAATTTTATATTAAAAATATTATTTATAATCATATAGTTACATAAAAAATTTAGCATAAATAAAAGAATATCAAAAAATTTTGTAAAATTTTGAAGTTTTTTCTAATACATTTTTTATTAAATATATGTTAATAATACTAACCAATATTGTTAGTTTTTGATTAGATTAATAACTAAAAATTGTATAGTTTTTTCTTTTATTTTATATACACTTATAAATTTATAAATATTAAAGTATACTTGCTTTTAGTTAGATATAAATTAGCCTATAACTGTTAATCCTAAACACTGTGTAGAAATGGTAAAATTTATTTAGAAAAAAAAAATTTTTTTTTTTAGCAAAAAATCAAAAAAAAATTATAAAAAAAAACTGAATGTAAAATTAAAGAGAAAATGAAAAAAGAAAAAAGAAAAAGAAATGATAATTAAAGAGTATAATAAAAAATGTAATAGTTGAAATAAATTATGCAAAAGATTTTTGGTTTATAATAGTATTTAGCATTAGATAGTAATGAGAATAAGACAGATCTTTATAGTAAGGCAGATCTTTATGGAGAAAGAGGATTGGAAGAACGAGAAATATTTAAATTTTCTAGTAAAGTAAATATTAAAATTTAGATTAAAATAAGTTTAAAATATTTGAAACTTAAATAACAAATCTTATATCACTCTAATTCAGATTGTTTTCTTGATTCTATTTAAAAAGCTAAAAAATAAAAGTTTGAATTTAACTAAATTTTAATATAAATATCAAATAGAATACATTTTAAATACTTATCAGAATTTGTTTAAAATAGAATTTTGAATTAAATTTCATATTTTTTGCTAACTTTATTTATTTCACTTTTCTTTTGAATTTCCTTTCTCATAAAATTCAAATAACTAAAATATTGTTTATTTATAATTTTTATTAATATAATTATATTATATGCTTTTTTAATTAGAATTTTACTTACTTTACAATTCTTAATCATCCCTTTAAACTTTGCTTAATATTACACTACTATAACATTTATATTAAATTCTTCTTTTATCTTTTTATAACTTCTTTTTAAAAAGATAACTTTGATCTCCTAAGATTAAACCAATATTCTTCATTTTTGCTTATCTTTTCTTTGATTAAGAATTAAACTTTGTTATCATCTTAATCAATTATATTTAATATTTTAATAAGTAGAAAATTTGAAAAATTATTAAATTTAATTTTTTAATAATTAAAAAAAAAAAAAAAAAGATACTTTATAAATTTATATAAAATTATATTGATATATGTCAGAAATTTAAAACATTTTGCATATAATAAGTAATTCTATTTAGTCAAAATTATCTAATAATTGTAAATTGCAATTATAATTCTAATTTTACATATTACATATAATTTAATTTACAAAATTATCTAATAATTACAATTTTGATAAAATTACTAAAATTATGTAATTTCAAATTTTTCATATTAGAAAAAAATATAATTTTCAATAATAATATGAGCTCTTTGCAATAGAAAGGGATAAAATTACCAAAAAAAAATTTTTTTGCTTTATAAGCTAAATATTATTTTTTTAATAAAATAAGTCCAGATTTAACATTAACTCAAAAA